TATTATTACAGTTGATATTTTTTTCTAATATAAAAAAAATAAATTAAGAGATAACTATTAATTATACTAAATTTCTTAAAATAAAAGTATTAAAGTTATTAAATACTAAAAGATAAAATATAAAATATATATAATTAAAAATATTATAATATTATATAAATTTTTTTATAATATATTAATAAAAAATTTAAATATTTTCTATAATATCTTGAAAAAATATAAATAAAAAAACTAAATATTTATTCTGCTAAAATATTTATTATAATAAAATAATTTAATAAAGATAATTACTTATCATATAACCTCTAATATTAAAAATATAAAGCTAAAAAGAAAAATAAATAAATTAATAATAAGTCATTTAATATATATATTATTTTGTAGCTTTAATATTTAACTTTAATTTTTTTAATTATAATAGAATCTAAATTTATATTATTATATTTATTCAATTTATATTTAATAAAAATTAATAATTTTTTTATATAAACTATAAAAAATAATAAAATAATAACTAAAAATTAATATTCTTTACTATTAATTGATAAAATAATTAATTAATTTAATTAAAATAAAGATATCTTTAAAATTAAAATTAAAAATATTTATTATAAATTTATATTAATGAAAATAATAAAAAAAAATTTAGATCAAATAAAATAATTTTGAATATTTAATATATTGTTTAATTTCTATAATATTACTGCTATCTTTTAGATCTATATTATTAAGATACTATAAGATTTTAATACTATAATATATATAATATATAAATGATAAAAATGTCAAAATTAACTATTTAACTAAAAGATTAAATGATAAGTTAACTGAAGTTATAAATAAAATATGATCTTTTTAGTTTTAAAAAGTTATTTAATTTTTTAAATTTTAAAAATTAATTAAAATTAAAATATAACTATCTTTATTTTATACTTTTAAATATTAGTTTAAGATTAAAAGTATTTTAATATCTTGATAAACTTATACTATATCATATTATTTTATTTATACTTTATATTAAACTTTTTTAGATATAGATTTATTATTATATTTTGAATATATATATATAAGTACTTTATATTTTTAAAGATAAATTTCTTTTTATTAGTTTAAATAGAAAATTGAAGATTATTTTTTATTTATAAAATTAATTCAGAGTTGATAATATTTTAACTAATTTGTTAAAAATTTAATCTTAATTTTTTATATTAAACTTACTATATTTTATTTCTAAAGTAAAAGTGTAACTTTAATCAATTTTTAATAAAGAAATTAGTAAATTTATAAAAAAGATAAAATAGAGAAGAAAGTTAGATATTAGATTAGATAATCATTATCATTTAATAATTTTGTAAATTTTATATAATTTTTAACTTTAAATCTTAATATCATGATCAATAAAACTACAATTCAACTTGCAATTGAAGATATAAGATTATAAAAAATTTCAAATTATAAGCAAATTACTTTGAAATGTAAAATCAGTTTGATTATATTAATATAATAATATAAAAATAAGTAAATCTATAAATCTAAAACAATATCAAAATAATACAAAGAATTAATTAACTTATAAAATAAATATTTATTTAGCATATATATCATCTAGCAGATTAGAGTCTTGCTTCTACATCTCAAATAATGTGGTCTATTTAGTGAGATCAAAAAATCATTAAGAATGCTAAGTGCAAAGCAGTCTGTAAAGCAGTTTAAAAGGCTGCTTGAAAGACTGCAGAGATTAAAATGAAGTATTAGACTCAAGCACTGAGACTAGATTTATCTTCATCACGTGATCATGTCCCATATGTAACATAGCGGATTGATATGATCTAGTCACGTGATCAAATGAGTAGTTTATGTTTAATCACGTGATCACGTTGATTGGTTTTAATCAGGGCAGAACCCTAACACCCCTTTTCCCTCACCAATCTTAGTATTTTGTTATATAGCAGTTAGCAATGCAGAGAGATTCTTTCCCATGCAGCTCACATTCGCTCCTTAACATGAAGCAGCTGAATCTAGAAAGTGAAAGACTGCTGAGAAGGCACTGAAGCAGTCACTCAAACACCAGCACAAAGTAATTACAGTCAAATCCAAATCTGCAAGATCTATGCAGACTGCCTCATTAGAAAATCCATCAAATTCAGTATCAGAACCACTATTCAGCACTTCTTCATCTCTCTTTCTTTTGAACAGCAAAGTCAGCTGTTCTAGCTGTGCTAATAAGTCAAACACTCATTTATTTTATTAACCATATTAATTTATATGTAATCTATAATACACTCATTTAATTTTTAATAGCTAGTAGTAATTCAATTCATGGTTGTTTCAAAATTCGCGATTCAGCAGAGCCGTAGGGTAGTAGGTAGCGAAATCGTTGGGAAATCGTCGGGTGGTCAATCACATTAACTACCTGATACAAATGGGAATTGGAGATAGGGAGAACGGGCAAGTTTATAAAATTGAACTAGCTATTAAAAAAATATAAAAAATCATATAGAAATAGAAATCTTATATTATCTTGCTTGAAACGCAGTGGATGTAATCCAGTTCCAGTCAAGATATTAACATCCTGCTCCATAACCAATATCCTTCATAGCCACATCTATATAAAACAGAAGTCCTGGAACCCCATATCATATGAGAACACCGTTGCCCTGCATACCGTGAAGGTGGTAGTGTAAATGAAATCACGTAGCATATTTTCATTACATCAATATGCGGGAACAGAAGAACACATAACAAACAAGCAAAATATATGCTGATATCTTGACATACACACACTCTCTCCTCTCTGACAATAACAAGCAGACAAATTTCAAGATAACAAGAAAATTCAACTGCAACCCCCCTAATCTTTCTCAATCTCCTCAGCTTCACTCCCCAACTCCTCCTTGACAAGATCCCTCCCCTCTCCCTTATCCTCCTGCTGACCATCCCTTTCCCCATCATAATAATCATCTTCTTCCTCGCTGCTCGATCCGCTCCCATCGCTATCCCCCTCGCTGCCAGGATCATAGTCTTCCTCTTCTTCATCTTCCCGATCCTCCATCTCCCTCTGCGCCTTCATCAATTCAGATTCCTCCTCCTCCCCAATACCACCGGCACCATTATTTGCGCCAGCATCACCACCGTTACCCGCACCATCAGCACCATCACCTTTCACGCCATTAATATTCAACCTCTTAGCCCTCCTGGCTTCTGCTAAACTGGCATCTTGCAAGCTGTGCTTTTTGATATAAGCATCAATTCCCGGATGGTTAGATTGGTCGATCATTGAGAGCTCGAATTCCTGTACTTCCTCTGGCTTTAGAGGTGAGCGGGCGGCGATGTTGAGGTTGAATGTCCGCTGAAGGACGGAGGTGTAGGATATCGAGTCGATGTTTTCGAGGGAGAAGAAGATGAGGGGCTTTTTGAAGCCGAAGAAGATACCTGTGGAGAGGAAGAAGAGGTATCCTATGGGTGATGTATGTTTGGTTAGAGTTTGGTTGCTCCTTGGGGTGAAAAAATACAGGTCCATTTTCAAAGGGGGTTCTAGTGAGAGCGACACCCCTTGTGCCCGTGCAGCGGGCTGTAAAGAAATGTATGTATAAACGTAAATGCTCACCTTCCTTACTCCCCCGAAACGCCTTGACATGATACGCCTTATCGTCCTTCCGATGAGCCTCAGGAACCGGACTCACAAATTCCTTCTCACTCGGACAAATAACTTTCGTATGCTTTAGATTATCATCAAGCATCCTCTTCAGATAACTTTCGTACGTCTCCGCAAGATTTGCGCTTTCCATAGCTGGTGTACCTGAGCCCAGGAAGGCTGTCCTCGGGGGGCCATCGGGAATAGTCCAGACGATTGACTCAAATGTAACTTGCCCGTCAGGGACGGAAGTGATACCGTCCGCGTACTCTGGAATGATACAGAAATTGAATTGTCGTTGTGTCTTTTCTGGGACAGGGAGGCAGAGTATATGCTCTATATAAGGGGTTAAGAAGAATTAGCAAACAACCTCCCATATCGCAACTTCCCTCCCCCCGAGAACACTCGGGAGTGACAAAAGATATATACGGCAAACTGTAAAATAGAGATAGATAGATAGACTCACGAATCTTCGACAGGGGAACCCCAAACTCCACCTCACCAGACACCTGATTCCTCGCCTTCAGATACTCTGTTGCCATCGAAGAGTCACCAGCAGAAGATGCAAGCCTCGTCAGTTCCAGCCGTAACTTCTTTCGCTGTGGAACCGCAAACGACAGGTCCTGCACGTAGAATTGTAACTCAGCATCGGCTGTTAGGCCCGCTGACAGCGTTGCGTCGTTTGTGGAATTGGCTCCCCCTTCCCCTACCACTGCTCCTCCGTTAATGAGTTTGCGTTTTTTTTCTGCCGGGCCGTCCCCGCCGGCCACTCGTAGCTGGGGGGAAGAAAGGGTGGACGCGCCGCCGCTGCTGTTGCGGAGCGTGCAGGTGTATTTTGCAATGTCCTCGAAGAGGCTGGCATGTTCGGGGCTGGAAGCTGTGGGTCAATGTGGTTAGTTTCATTTTGTATTTTTATGCATGCAATAAAAGTGTGATCGTGACGATAACTGGTGGGGGATTCCTTTTGCTGCATTAGGAATGTAAAGTCATTTGAAAGTGCTGAAACTTACCAATGGCGGAGTAGACGCGTTTCCGGAGCGCCGCATTGCCCTCGAAGGCTTTGTCGATGATGGCATGATGGATAGTACTCGAAGACATGTCGAGATATGCGTAATATAAGAAAGAACAGGAGGTGTGGTTTCCCCGACACTCCTGATGGGTGGGTGAGAGGAGAAGCGTCAAAATTTGAGATGGCTGAGACAAACACGACTGGGCAGCGGATGGATGCTAGATAATGGTGGTAGGGGTTACAAATCGCATTTTATAAAGGCTATTTTTGGGAGCTTAGGCAATTATTTCGAATATTGGACATAGAATGTCTTAATCTTTTTTATTTTATTTTTTTAATTTTTATTTTTTTGGTCTCATAAAAAGAAGAAAATGGTAGTAGAACAAAAAGTGTTGGTTGTTATTGCTAGAGCAGTTGGGTTATATATTTTAAGCCCCTCCAGGCGGAGGAATCCCGGATTTCTATCGTGCATATTTAATGCATTGAACACTATATTTAAAAGTGAGATTTTATGTCTATTTCACCAATCACGAAGCACAAATAATCCTTTATAGCAAACTCAGATGAATCGCAATAATATCATACAATGATTGGATTGCCTAGAATAGTACACGCCTTTCAGAGCCTCCTGCTGGAATTGGCCACCACCATGAAATGGAGTCACCAAAGGTCCTGACGGCCCCTTTGCTGCAGATTACTTCTGCTTCTTGGCCAGGAACTGCTCGATATACAACGCGGTTTCCTGAGGGACAATATAGTTCCCATCTGCATCCTTCCGCTGCTCCCTTTCTTCCACTCTCTGCTGTGCCTTCTGGGCCATATACGCCGTCTTTGGCGTGACCCATAGTTTGTTCTTCTGCTCTTCCAAGCGCCTATCCTCTTCTTCCTTCAGTGCAACCCACTCTGGATCATGTCGCGTACGGAATTTAGAAAATTTATTCCTAAGCTCGTCGAGAACAGTTAGAGGGAATGGGCGCTCATTGAGGTAAGGAATATGCGTGCGGTCCTCCACGTCGATTCGTAGGGTATCTACTTGTTCGTCCTTGTAGTCTTCGATGATTGGCTGGGGCCAAGGGATCTCGACATCGAGGTCCGAGATGTATCGTGTATGCTTGGGTGTGTCTACGCCGTATGGATGGTCTATGAACGGCTCTCCGGCATACATGTGTTTCACGACGACATCTTCCACCTTTCCTGTTTCGGAATTTGTTAGGGGAACAACTAGCCGGACGTCCTCGAAGGGAACTGGCATAGATATTGGTCGATATGGTCGTTTATCATTCTCATCTCCTAAAATGAATTTGGGATAGCGTATATCGACCTAAGGAATTTTTTGGTTTGGCAGATGAGCATATACTTCTCTGATTCCCATAGTATAATGAAAAAACTTCCAGCATAGTTACTTACCTTGTTAATCCCATTGATAGTCATCGTCTGGCTTTTTGCATTTATAGCCGAAACAGTTCCAATCCTCCCTCGTTCCCTCCCATTGATCACAACCACTCGATCCCCCGGAGCGAAGTTGACGAACTTCGCCCTATTCGCGCGTGGAAGGCTCGGGGGATTCGTGAACGGCGGTGGAAGGGTGCCGTGTAAGCCCTGAAGGCTAGCATAATCTCGTTTCGGGGCCAATGGGCCCTTTAACCAGTCCTCCCGCCGCGATTTTCGTTCATTATTGACCTGGTCGAGAATCATCTGCTGATGCTGCTGCCGTTCTCGGATGTATTTTTTTATTTCCTCGCGCCTATCTTTTTCAGCTTGGATTCTCGCCTTTCGTTTGGCCTGGTTGGCCGCGAGAGTAGCCCGCCTGATGACCTTTTGCATCGTTTTAAAGGTCAATGGCAATTGTGAAAGGGTCTGGGACAGGTAGCAGTCATCAGCTCGATGACGATTCAGGCATTGTCGTTTCTGGGGTTGGATGCAAATTTACGGACATATTACGTAATCACCGAAAGTCTTGGCATTCCACCTTCAAACTGTTTGAAGTATCCTTGTTGTTTGTAGCCAAAAGGAATATTACATCATGGATCTACAGGCCAGTTCTACAAGCGACATCAGATATCTTTGTAGCTCCCGCATTTTGGATGGTATTGAACAACTTCCTTGGTGACATGGTCGATCTGGATATCAGGCCAAGGACGTATTTGGAACAAGTTCGAGGAGCTTGGAGATTAATTGTTATATTGACATGTTTTCAGTTACCGTTGATTCGCTTGAACCAGTATTAAAATGCCTTTTCAAGCCGTCTGTAATATGTGTGAATTGGAGGTTCATAATTCCAGGAAGAGGGGCAGTGTGAGGAACCGAGCCAGTTACAAGAGTAGATGGGTTTGTCTATGGTATTTTCAGTTGGTCATTCTCCGGAATCCCACTTCCATTTTAATAGAAGCTGGACAATGGGTCATGCCTCATGTCGGGAAAGGGGGTATCTGGTTTCACCCCATTGGGACATGTTCAATATCACGACCATTCAACCAAAGTTTGGGCTGTTTCCCACGCTCCCAGGGGATAAATCATTGTGGCCTTCTAAGGGCCGGTTGCTTCACTGATTCTTCGGCTCATTCAGGATGGCTCGCCAAAACATAACGGACACAAGAGTTGGGGACGGCGACCTGGGGAGGTTTGTAGGATAGTGAAGAAACCTCTCACTTCTCAAGCGTCGAGTCAGTCTGCCTGTTCCCTTTTTCAGAAAACGCCCAGGGCTTTTTAATGAGGGAGCTCCGTAAAAGAACTGAGACAAGCTTATGGAAACGGCATGGCGCACGCAGGTTTGAGACGGGGAAAAACGTTAACGTCAAAACGTTAGTTCCATGGATGTAACTCTACTCGGGAGTTTCTGAAATCTCCTGATATTGGCGGGTTCTCCGCAGAGTAGCAAATAAAGGATAACCGAAACTAATTGTTCGCTCCGCTGGATATAACTCTCCACGTATGAAACGTTAATTATCCCCGGATAATATTTAACACTCAGGAATTCCCTTGCTTTCGATTGCTGGAAAAGAGAAACAGTAACATATGTAAGAGCCTTGGAATCAGCCGCGTCCAATCCCTGTAAGGAAGACCGCCTTGCCCGTCTCCAAAATGGGAATGGCCCTAAGTGTTCCCGGGCGTATTCGTGTGTGGCAGGTGCACGTGGAGTTGCTATCCAAGCTCCCACAAGTTTGCCTTGCAAGTTTGGTATCTTGAATTCCTTGGTAAGGTTTCCAAAGTTACGATGATCTTATTGATATCAGTGGTGGCTCCTGAGCATCATAATCACATTGTTTACTGGTAGGGTATTAGATATTTTAGTTTATTGGGCTTTTTGGCTAGTTAGTTAATCATCATGGGGGTAGCATTTACGGGCGCTGCTCGCAGAGCATCCTCAAGTCGAGTGAGTTCAGTCCGTACTTAGTCGTCGACTCATCAAGTGTCTAGTTCTGCGCTGAAGATTTGCAGGTTTGAGTCACTGGCATGTGTTCTCAATTACCTGAGTAACTTCCCTAGCTTCCATGCAGTTTCAAGGGCTGTCAATCAATGGATCCATCCATGGCACGTCTGGAGCGTTTGCACCGCCACAGCTGATCTTTTGGACTGGGATAAAGGTCCTCATGCGCCCCCTGTCCAGCTAAGAGCTAGAATGCTGTTGAGGGACATTTTGAGTTGGCTGTTGAATCATCGGAGTAAAAAAAGCAGTCGTCAATTGGACACTCTCAGTAGTAATGTTTCGTGTGACGACGTTAGCTTACCATAACTACTCCATGGGAAGGTCGAATAATTTGACGTGAAAAATTTGAACCAATGGCCGGTGTTATCCCTGGCCTGGAAGAATAGATAGTTTTCTGAACCCGGCCATCGATATTCGAGATATCTTGATACTGTCTGTGTCCATGGCTTGAGGAGGCTTCAAGATTGGGGGGCAGCAGGCGAGCATGTGGATAAGGAAAGCTCCAAGCCAAGGGTCTGACGGGGGATCGGGTGGTCAATTTATGTCGAATATGCCCTTCTTGGGCGGCATTCTGCATCGAGTGATGCAAGACTTGTTAACTTTGATGGTACTTGATTTGTGTTTCGTTTAGATTGAGTTGGCGGAGGCGGAAGATGCCTTATTTTACCATGGACCACAGCGTGTATATTACATAACACACCCACGTCGAAAGGATAAGTTAGTTAGGAACTGGCTACGTAAGAAAAAAATTGCGGAAAAATCTTTTTTATCCTTTTTCTTTTTCTTCCCTTTTGCCGTTGTTTTTTTACTAGGCAGATGCTCGTGTCAAGTCAGTCGCCAATATACCTAGGGCAGGGCAACCAATTCGAGAGCAGACTCTTGGTTGTTGCATATTGGACTGGTAAAATGTGAGGATTTGGCAACAATAGAAGCAAACAATAATTATGGTAAAATGCTCTCGATACCAGTCATGTAGAAAATTGACGAATAGGTAGAGTAGCTTTGAGAGAATTTGATGCTTATGGGAGGGTGCCTTCCGAGGGACCATACAGAGGCAATATGCACGTAACTATGTATGTACATAAAACACCTATTGATTTTTTATTTATTTTATTTTTTTTTCACACATACAGAGAGAAGATCTCTTTAAAAAAATAATAAAAAAAGAAACAAGATATAACTACGGAGGTGTGGAACATAAGTAATGACTTACAGTAGCGTTGCTTGGTGTATTGCAAATACCAATTACTCCACCTAATTTGTATGGAATAAGAAGTAGCTTCAATATTCAAATAAACAAATACCTCTGAATCTCTACTCTACTAACATATGAATTTATGAATTATTCTGCAAGCTCTGCCTCATCCTCTCAAGTATCATCCTCAAGCAGTGAATCTAAGCCTGTACACAGTACTGTCAAATCTACAGCAGCTTCAAAGTGAGCAGCTGCAGCATCTGCTAGAGTTCCATCTTCTAGATCCTGCTGCTTTGAAATATGCTTAGCAAGCTGTTGATCTTTCCAATTGTGAGCTTGGAATTGCCCTTCTTATATTTATTGCCACCTTTCAAGTATATAATCTCCTGAATATGGTGCACAACCTATTTAATCTATGTCTGTGGAAGCTCTTTCCAGGTCTTCAACCAATCTTCTTTTGCAGTCTTTTGTTCGCGAGGAGCTCCTCTAACTACTAGGATGAGAGCTTGAACTTCACAGTTCAATAGAATGATGTGGCATAATTGTGTTTGTAGAGATTAAAGCAGGTGTTGAAAAAGGCTTTGAATATAGAATTTTGCAAGTTTTCACTCAAATGAGGTAGATTGTTGGGGTGGGAATCAAGGATAGAAGAACAGAGTATGGAGTATTTTGTTTATTTGAATATTGAAGCTACTTCTTATTCCATACAAATTAGGTGGAGTAATTGGTATTTGTGATACGCCAAGCAACGCCACTGTAAGTCATTACTTATGTTCCACACCTCCGTAGTTATACATGCATTCTCTGTATATACTTTTTATGGTCTCTCTCTCGTCCAGCCTCTGGCGTCTCTGCTGCAAGCTCAAAACCTGCTGAGTCATCTTTGTCCCAAGCTCAAGCGTCAAAAGCGCCCTAGGCCTCTTTCAGCCAACCCTCTTGCGGCTTCCGCCTGCTTCGTCTCCATCCAAACCTCCAACCTCCAACCTCCAACCTCTGAATCCTCTCCAGACACCTCGCTCTTCTCACCTTTCTCCCTTTGCTCATCGCCCATCTTGTTCCCACCATCTTTTCATCCCTTTCAGCTCTTATAGCTTCTGCTACTTTCTTCTCTGGCTTGCTCTCTTAACTACTCTCTTTATCCCTCCTATTGATTGAGGCTGTTCACTTCACTCTCCTGCTCCATCGTCATCAGTATGTTTATCTTTTGTTCTCTCTGGTAATCTTCGCCAGCAACACACCACCAGCAACAACATCAGAAATCCCTGCCAGCAAACATCAACAGACTTCCTGACATCTCTTCATCTTTTCTATTCTCTTCTCTCTTGCCCTGCTGTTGTATCTACTCCTTGCTTGCTGCTTCTACTGCTTGTCTTTTTTGATTTGATTTTACTAACAAACCTCCAGTTTGTTATCAAGATGGCTGAGATTCGTCGTAAACTTGTCATTGTTGGTGATGGTGCCTGTGGTAAAACTTGTCTCTTGATGTGAGTGTTCCTTCCTTAGAGAGCAGCCTGTTTCATTCATGATATGATATTTTGCTTGACTATCTGACTATATTGATTATTGACTTGACATTTCCACAGTGTCTTTTCCAAGGGTACCTTCCCTGAGGTACATATTATCACCCCTGCTCACCCTCCCCTCAAAACCCCAATGATCTCTGCTTGTTTTTGATGGATTATACCGATCGGAATGTCCACAAATAAGGACCCTGGGGCCTTCCTTTCAAATTCAACACAGTCACGCTGATGCGGTTCATCCCTCTTAGGTCTACGTCCCAACCGTCTTCGAGAACTATGTGGCCGACGTTGAGGTCGATGGAAAGCATGTCGAGCTCGCACTTTGGGATACGGCTGGCCAGGAAGATTACGATCGACTCAGACCTCTTTCCTACCCTGATTCACATGTTATTCTGATCTGTTTCGCTATCGATTCCCCCGACTCTCTCGACAACGTCCAGGAGAAGGTTGGTGGTCTAGAATCGCTTATCCATGTGATTGAACTCTAGCTAACCAATATGTGCAGTGGATTTCTGAAGTCCTTCATTTCTGCCAGGGTCATCCCATTATCCTCGTTGGCTGCAAGAAAGATCTTCGTGACGACCCCAGAACGATTGAGGAGCTGCGCAAGACGTCTCAGAAGCCCGTGACCACCGAACAGGTATGTCAGCAGATAGCTCCTCTGTAAGTCCCAAGTATTTGAGGTGCTGATATGTCTACAGGGTGAGGAGGTCCGCAAGAAGATTGGCGCTTACAAGTATCTGGAATGCTCCGCCCGAACAAACGACGGAGTTCGTGAGGTGTTCGAGTCAGCTACTCGAGCTGCACTGCTGGCGAAGAAGGAGAAAAAGAAATGCAAGATCTTGTAAATTTCTTTCTTTTGTTCCAGCTCACCCATATTGATTGGAAGACTTCCCACCTAAGCTTCCTGACAAAACTGGGACGAACGGTACATGGATAGAAATTCCCGGTGGCTCGTGTTATCAGTTGTTGCGTTGAGATGTGTGGATGGTTTGAATCACCTGCCCTACGTACTCTTTAAGATGGGGATCATCTGGCTATGCAATTGGTCGACTTTATAATTGTTTCATTTTCCGAAGCCTATCCAGAGAGCACCATTTTAACCATGGCCTCTCCTTTGCTAGTCCATGCCCTCGAATTTGGTCGATCGATGCATCTATCCCATGTTAAACCTAATTCTTGTGAGATTTGAGTGGCCATGACTTTTGATGATGAATATCCGCAATGGTTGCCAACAAATAAACAAGAAAAGAAAAAAAAAATTTCCCTTTACCTTTCTTTTTTTTCATCCCCACTGTCCACGTGTGCCTTATGCTGTCTCCCATTCTGTTCTATGAATCCAATTCAAGAGGAGATGAACGAATACACCCACTGGGAAATGCAAATATCTTGTGAATCTTTTAATTATCATTTTCTGCTGCAGGCTACATCTCCTATCTTTTCCTTTTCTCCTTTTGCTGCCTTGTTTATTTCCCTCCCTCAATCTTGTTTCACTTTTAAACTTGTGGATCTGCTTTGCTGTTTGTGTGCTTTGTTCTCCAATTCTATGTCAAAATAAGAGCATTGTGATCATTACCAGATATCTTGGCTTCTGTATTCAATCTTCCCATATTCGGCCCATTATGCAACGCATAGCACAAAACAAAGGGTACAAGAGTTACCCACCCCCAACCATCGGACCCATGTATTGCGTTTTACTAAAACGGAAGTACAGTTGCTCCATACCCAGGCCTTCCTGAGGACCAAATCACAACATTCCCCATCTATTTGTGTGCCCTTTAGCTTCCCTGCCCCTGCTAACCTTCTAACAAACCCTCAGATTGATTGATTGCTTTGTCCTTTGGTTTTGATCAATAAGCTGTGGTTTTTATTATTTGTCCTGTTTCTAAACTAAACCCACCTTGGTGTCATCTTCCCCCCCCCCCCCCCCCCCCCAAATGTCACGAGTCTATCTAGTAGTTCTGTTTGCCTTATCCTTGATTATTACTCCTCAATACAAAGTCTTCCCTAATATCATTCCCACCCTCACTGTGTTTAGTATCGTGGTGTGATCATTTTTTGAATCCAGGAGTATTCAAATCAGAAACATATATTCGTTCCTTAAAGTCTCCCCTCTCCCCTCTCTGTCTCTTATGCCTCCTCTCTCATGCATGCCATGCCCCTATCAATACCCCACGCTTGTAACCTGGACTTACGAATAGGTTATGTCTTGTTGGATGGGGAGGAAGGGGGAATGGGAAGTTTAGAACCAAATTTATTAAATAGCCTCTTCGTTGCCCTAGGCAGGTAGGTGGCTATATAGGCACTAGGGCATAGATTGATGGAGTGGTGGTATAAATGATAATTAATTAATTACATCTATTTGGATTTGCTTCTGGTATATTTGATTTTTTTTTTCGGGCACGCCCGTATTTGTGTTTTCATTTCCCATTCACTGTTGTTAAATGTGGACTTGGGGATATTCTGTTTAAGATGCCATTGATGCCATTGATGCCATTTTGAGGGATCTGTGGAGTGCATGCGGAATATATTATCCTGTTGGACAAGAATTTGTCTTCTTTTCACATTCACTTTTTCTTTCTCTTCTCTTCTCTTTTCTTTTCTTTTTCTTTTTCTTTTTCTTTTTCTTTTTTTTTTCAATATATATAAATTCCCTTTTGCTCCTGTTGAGCTATGCTCGATACCTGTATTGGGGATATCTTGCTGTTTTTCTCCTTCAAAATGCCATATTGCATGATTGAATTTCTGAGATTAATTAAAGTCAAAGACCAATACAGTACAAGTTCGTCATTTTGGCTGATTTCGACGCCATGATAAAGTACCTAAGTACATGCATGTGAAGGTACTTATGCATATAGTTACATGGTAGACGTGTCTAAACATATAACTACCCTGTAGCCTCACTCTTCAGCCTTGCCAAATTGCCAAGAAGGGACAAGGGATGAGGGACGAGGATGTTAGGAGGGGAAGTGACTTGGCGTGCAAATTTAATTTTGTTGCCAATGTAGATTATGCTGATAGAATTGAATGGTGTAGATAAGGGGGTTAAATTCAGGACAAGTGGAGTAATTGTTCACTTTTACTTTCTGTACAATCTGGTTCAACATCATTGGTTGGCCCGAGAAAAGTTGATGGTAAATTGAGGGTGTATCCATACCTAGGCAGACGTGTTAAGACACTTTATATTAGATAATAGATAGATTACCCTTTATAATTTCACTTAAAACTGTTTTAAACACATCTCTGGATGCTACATGGGAGTTCCCAACTATCTGAATCTTTCCACCATAGGCAAACACACACTCTGCAACAAACCTCACTATCGTTACGGTTGACAAACCCTATTAAACCATTGCTTTTCTCTATCACCCTCTTTACCGATTCAAATTTAACAAGGCTTCAATATACCGTCGCGCATCGAGTCCCACACCCTCAGCAAGTTTCCCCGGCCCAGACCATCCCCTTCGTCCATCCCCTGCGCTGGACTGCGACGCGGCTGATGCACCGCTAATGTCCCGGAAGAATCTTGCTCCGCTGGATTTACGAGCATGGCTAGGTAAGGCGTAATCGCTGGCCTTCCGGACGAGGAAGGCTTCCTTAGGAGGTGGTGTGAGTTTCACTGATGACAAGGCAGGACGGGATGATGTAGATGATAGCGACGCTGGTAGTGTCTGCTGTTGTTCGATTTCTTCTCCAGCTATTTCACCGTGGGAGCTAGAGTCCTTTAGACGCATCCATAACACCCACCAGCCTCTACTTGTCATACACGTTCGTTCGACTTCTGAGGGCCGGTTTCTTGTTTCGATGTAGGTAGTTAGAATTTGCATGTGGACATTGAGGATATCTTGGCGGGACCATGCTGGTTCAGTAGAATTGTGTGACGATAATTGTATTGCTTGGACTGGTGCCCCTGGCTCCGGTATGTTGGGAAGGGAAGTGTGAATGAAACACGTCGTAGGGTCGTAAATAAGATCATACAGCGGTGATTGTTGATTGGGACCTTTTTCTTTCGAGCTTTGGTACTGGTTCCATAGCGGAGCTCGTTGGGGAATCTTGTCTAATGACGTTGAGAGCAATAGAGGCCTTTGGAGAGGCCCGAGCTGGTGATGGATGCTCCGGTAAAATGAGGAAGAGGATAGCGATGGCGTTTTGAGTTCAAAGAGGAATGTGAACATGAAGGGTTGATTCTGGTTTCTTCATTAGTTTTAGCTCATCTCATATGGAACTTGGGAAAAGGGTTTGCTAACAAGATATACTACCACTTGCAAATCCCTGTATTCGTCAACGGATGTCGTACCTGTGCTTAACCAGTTAATACATCTGACTGTAACCTACATTAGTTGATTTGTGACATACCTCCATTGCCTTCTTTCGATATGGGCTCTTGCATCTTTAGACTCAACGTCCGGAGGACTGTTTTGTCTGTCTGAACTTTCTTCGCTGGTATATCTCCCACCTCACCAGACTCTGTGTCGTCCTCGCCATCGCTCTCCTCGATCTCCAAATCATCTCGAAGCCCTATTATAAACCTGCCGTTGTTGTGAGATTTTGATAATACTGCGCCTTCCCTTCCTATAGAACTTGTCTCTGGCAGATTATCCGTGTCAACAGCAGTTGTGTGGGGGCCGCTGCTAAGCTTCAAAAAGTTCACTCGTGGATGTGAGAGCGAGAAGTAATTCGAAGTATCAGGCCAAGATGGTCCGTATCCAGAGGTCAATAATTTCATAAAACTGTCCGTGCTGAATAGGGAAGAATTGCTTGGTTTCTCTGGAGAAAGCTTTGAGACGTCTTGCGCGTTGCGACTACTCTCCCCAAATGTCGACCTTTCAGGTCTGGGCTTGGATGTCTTAATTGACCCGATTACCAAAGGAGGAGGAATCCCGGGGGATAAGCTGCGTCTTGGCGAAAACCTGAGGGACATAGGATTGGGTTTCTGGGCACCATTTGGGGCCCTATTTTTAGGGGATGTCCGTCGTTTGCGTCGCCGCGTGGATTTCGGATCACGTCTAACTCCGAATGCGTCTTCGCCATAGCGGTATATCCATTCCATCCAGTGGGATACACAGGTAAGAGACTGCTTGGAAATTGTCCCGACTCCTGAAAATATCACGCCATCAAATGAACGTGGAGGAGTTTTACATCCTATCCAAGGCTGATTTTCTTCAGCTGGCTCAGATTTAGGGGTATTTTGGTTCTGGGTATCTTGACCCTGATGATTTGATGTTGATGGGTCTCCGAAACGTGATACAACCATATCAACTAGCCCATTCGTTCTCGAGATGAAATCTTCTAAAACTTCGCGTTCTCCACTTCCCCATTCCTCTTCACCGACTCCAATCCCTAGCTCTCCCGTTGCCGCAAGTTTGATGCCATTCAATATATCAACTGCCGGATTTCCATTTAAAAGAGCATCCCAACCCCAAATAAATCTCGTCCAGAATTGGTCCAGCGCACTGCAAAATGATGTTCTTGATAGACGGTTGTACAGTATATCAAGAGAGGGAGCGTGATGCAGGAGGAATATCGCGTGCGCCTTTAAAAGTTGCTGCAGGATAAGAAGGGGAGGGGCAACTTCGCGGGAGGAGTATTCAACTTGGGTGGGTTGCGCATCGCCTGGTTTTGGTGCGCGTGAGGCAGACGTTTCAGCAGATAAACGTGTATAGTCAACGGACTTGTAAAATATATTAGAAAGTGAACAAGATTAGACGGAGGTATCAACCATACGGCGAGGATCCACCAACCGGTCTCCAGTTCATGCAACGTGATCCGAGATTTTTCTGTGTCGACTGTGTTCACCGCTTCGCCGTTAGAGAAATTCCTGCGGCGGACTCAGTTAGGGCTGCCGCATTTGGAGATGGCGATATTCGGAAACAATACCTACTTCGCGAAGTTCACCATACCCTGCGCCAGACCTATCTGGCGCAACCTCTCGTTGTTATCAACATTATCATCGTCGCCAGTGCCACCTTGCCGCGTGCTTTCAGAGACTTTTGTGTTTTCCTTTCTTGAATAGTAGAAAACAATCTGATCTCCGAGAGTCTCGTCTGTAGGCCCTAAGGATGGGTTGTATATCGCGAGGTAGGACAGCTGTGCGGGGACAACCGAACTTGGCTCCTTCGCAGGCATTGCATTGCTTATCGGACGCTCCTCAACGATAGCATGGCTGAATGGGAGTGTTAATAATAGAAGTACACATGGAAACGAAATCAAGAAAGATTTGGGTTTGAAACAGGTTCCTTTCTAGAGCTTGATGCTGTAGGTTTACTCCATGCTTCAGCGGGATTTCAACGGTTGGGTTTAACTACCCACTTTCATATGCGCTATTCCAAACTGAGTAGTTATGGTAGTTACACATATAAATTGAGTTTCCGACGAAGTGTCGAGGTTGCAGTTTGTTAGTGAAATCAGAGAGTTATTTTTTAAAGATATATAGATCTTTGTTGAAGAAGATAATATCCTATTTGAAGTATCAGGAGGCTAATTAAGTGCAGAGATTGTTAGTTATTAGTTACCTAACTTAACTAGTTAAATAACCTGTAAGTTCTGAGACTCATATAATCACGTGAACTGGATGCTCTCACTCCGCGACAAACTTCTTTATACTGCAATTTCAGTTTCCAAGGCAGCTCAGATTTCTCTCATGGACAGATGAATATATGGTGACCCCGGGGCTCTTTCTACATCGGCCGTTGCTGGCTTGTCCGACGTATTTTAGCGTTCGATTTACTTCCACCAAGACATGCGACCCTTTAAGGATTCTCTTCTGCGGCTCTGATAGCTTCAGCATTGCATCGCTGAATACCCTTTACAAAGAACATGTCAATAATCCGGAAACAATTGCCTCAATTGACGTTGTTTGCAGGCCTGGGAAGAGAGTTGGGCGAGGTTTAAAAAACTTTCGTGAAGGTGCTTATACTTATATCAATAGTCATATCTATTTTGAGCAACAAGGCTAACGTTGAGAATAAAGTCCCAATTAAAGCTGCTGCAACCCAACTGTCACTCCCGGTCCATGAAATCGACACGTTTACTGGCTGGAAAGTGAGTACCCTTTACATAAATAGAAGCTAGCATATCGCGTCATCTGACTTTTTCAATGAGAAGCCCCCGCGACCGCAAGGGGCTGACATCAATTTGATCATTGCTGTTTCATTTGGTCTTTTCGTCCCACATCGAATACTTAGCACTGCAAAATATGGAGGTCTTAATGTTCACCCTTCCTTGCTTCCAGAGTAAGTTTTATCCTACCCGCTGGTTGGGCGGTCAATCTTAACTGAATATATTCAGTTTTCGAGGGCCTGCCCCTTTGCACCATACGCTCTTAGCCGGAGAGACCAGAACGGGAGTTACGCTCCAGACACTTGATGCGAAGAAGTTTGACCACGGAATTATCCTTGATCAAACACCACCTCCAGGCTTCAGCATACCGGATCCAGATACGTGTGATGTTCCGCGTCTGTTGAATTTGGTGTCTGAGAAAGGCGCACAGATGCTCGTGGAGGGTATTAGAAATCGTGTTTTTGTTCCCCCTCTGAAAGGCGTGGGATGGCTTAAACCAGTTGAAGGAGTTTCTCTTCGGTATGCCGGGAAGATCACATCGGAAGACCGACATATCAATTGGAAATCCTGGACTGCAGATGAAATAAGTCGATGCCAACGGGTCCTTGGGCTATTGTGGAACAATGCTGTTGTTCGGGTTGCCCCCGGCGGTAATCACGAGCACAAGAGAGTTATATTCACGAAGATGGAAGTTGTTGATTCTATCCCGGGCAGCCCCTGCTCGACCCAAATCGATCCTGGGTTGGTATTCGCGGTTTCAGATCCAGAGACTGAAACTGATGGATTAGATCAATCCTTATACGTAACTACGAGTGACAAGAAGATTTTCCGGATACACGAAATTAAAGTTCAAGGCCAATCATCAGCACCTGCTTATCGAGCTGCGAAGAAAGCTAACATGTTGGATCTACAACCTATATATTCTCCACTGCCCGCTATATTTTTTGCAGGCCTTGAATAATACAAATCTTGAATATTGGGCGATATAGAGGACATATTGAGTTATTAATTTTCTTACGAACTTCCCATGACACCCCTACTAGTTTACGCGAGGCGGTCCTGAGTACGATCTATACGTATTTTGTTGCATTATTGTTATATTCGAGGAGTTCAAATAACGAGATGGGAGTTTATACAGGTTCTCTATCCCTCCCACATCCGTCGTTAGCTTAAAAACAGCTCGACGCATTCATATCTTCCTCTGCCGGAAGGAGCAACATTATCGAATGAAGCAGCCCGAATCTAATTTTTCCACAATCAATAATTTCCTTTCAACCAATGATTCTGGAGATAAAGATATCCATACCAACTTGGATCTGTTGCCCAGTCATGGACGTATTTTTGGCAAGTGTGATAAATACATCGGCGCAGTCCTCAAGATCAGGCTTTGTGATGCACGCAGTTAGGGCCTTTCATCAACACTCTTTTCTAGCATGCATTTACGGTATTTAGGTACTTACTACATGCTTTAGGACGGCCTTCTCTTCGTATCCGTTGATTGCCTCCTTGGGGAATTTCTCGCCCTGCCTTGGATATTAACATATATATATCGACAGCCAGATAGTTATCCGGGCTGCACATACCCATTCCGTGAGGATAAGTCCTGGTAGAACAGCATTGGTGCGGATCTTCGATCCCTGAGTTGAAGCCAGTGCTTTCATCAGATGCAGTCCTATTATGAGTCAGCTAAGATGGACGACGGAGAGTTCTATGTAGGATATGCGGATTTGCCCACCTGCAGCTTTAGAAACGGAGTACGCCATGCTACTCCCTGCTTGGGAAATACCCTGAAGCATTCTTTAGCCTAAACGCCTTCTTCCTATACCGTCTAATGGAACATAATACTGACCGCAGTGGATGATGTCATGATGAAGACACCACCTTCGGGATTCGCGTTGAAAGTTGTCTCTGCCTCTCGGAATATGTGCAAGTTTGCTTTAACATTAGTCGCCCAGCACTGTTGTTAGAGGGTGGAGGTGGGAGATTAGCATTTTATATTTCCTTCCTAATGTTCATAGGAATTGGACTAAAAAAAAATGCATACCTTGTCCCATTCCGCTTCGTTCAATCCATTCAGATCTCCGAATCTGGAGAATTTTGTCCAGCCCTAGAAAAATCATTTTATGTTTAGTTAAGCATCTTTTTATTACTTCTACTTCTCTTTCTCTACTTCCATGAGAAGAAAAGTGCAATGGAACTCGTACAGCATTAGATATCACAATATCAAGGCCTCCCAGCCGCGCAATCGTTTCCTTGACCAGCCTAATGCAATCTGCCTGGATGCCTACATCCTGTAGAAATATCAATATTGTCTTGATATCAGCACGTGATCTCCCCCCATAGTTGCAAATTCGAAATCCTTGTACGTACTGCTTGCACAAGAACGACCTTAGCATTATACTTCTTTTCCAATTCCTCAGCAGTTCCCTTTGCACGAGCTTCGTTTGAGACGTAGTTGATTGCGATGTTGGAACCCTCAGCCGCGAACTTTTTGGCTACGAGAGCTCCTAGACCTCTTTACAGAGGAAGCGGAGAATTAGAATTTAGATTCATTTATGCATTCTTCCTCCCTCCCCTCTCCTTAGTTTGGGTTGTTTGGGTATGTTCAGAAGCGGGACTTTCGTGGCGGGTAAAATTGCCAGTAAACGAACCTTGAGCCTCCCGTAATTAGAATATTTCTTCCCTTGAGACAGTATGGCATGGCTGTGTCGGATTTCTAGATTCGAGAGTTTTTGAAAAGAAGGGAGTAATATTCGATATGATTGAAGTTCTGAGGATTTTTCGACTCTACTAAAACACGGTATTCAGGTTATGTATATATAAGGTTTACTTGCTTGATGGTTTACACCTTGTCCAGCGTAAACCGCCCTCAGAATCCCACTGTTCCACAGCCATATATTTCTCGAAAAAGTTCCACAGCGCTGAGGGGATCGGCGCTGAGGGGTTCGTTGATAGCTTAAACGGCACACTTTTAGTTACTAATAACCTCGGCATTTAAAGGAATTGTGGAGACTTTTCCTATTTAACTTGGAAAAACCTAACGTTGACCCAGAAACAATGGAGGACAATCAATTGTTTTTCCTTTTTTTTTTGCCACTAGTCTTTTCGTTGCGCAAGTTCCCGATCAATCAACTTTGATGCTGTTATCCAACCCCATCAAACCCACTCACAGAAGACACTCTTTTTCTGGTCCATATTGCCGATTCACTTTACAATACGAAGATGAATTCCACTGGATAATTTTATACGACTCAGAGCTATCATCATCGCAGTTTCTTGTCGATGATCTTGAGGGCGTATGTGCTGCGTTGACGAGTAGTATTTTTTATGCTGTTTCCCCTGAGAAAGGGGTTACCATATCTGCTTTTGATATCCCAAAGTGTGGATTATAGGCAAACGCAGGGAAAATGCATATTGTCTCGCAGCAGTTGTACATTGGAAGTGCACAAAGATAAGGCCCTTGGGCTTGCTGGCTACTTTCGTGTTCATCAGAAACAGGTCCATGCTGTTCTTTTGATCATTTTTGATCGGAATGATATATAGTACAGCCCAACAGAGCAACCCATTTGTCAAACAGTACCATGGAATTATGAGATATGTTTGTCTCTTATTCCAGCCTTTATATGGCATTTGCTTCTGCTTTCAATCAGACTTCTCTCTCACCGAGAGATCAACTGGATGTACTGTGACTGATCAAATTTTGTCAGATACAATGAGCCTAAGACTGTATCTCAGCTAGATATCCCTGGTGAGCAGCTGTCAGTCCCGATGAAGAGTCAATTCGACCAGTGCATGAGAGTCTCTTACCCAAGGAAGCTGCCTTCTTCAGATGCGCTGCTTGCTGGACAAAGGTGCACGTGCCATCTGGACTTGTCACTATTCTTAACCCCTTTCCTGTCCAAATGGCTGCCATCTTCAACATTTTATCTCACTGTCATGTACAGAACCCCAGTACGTAAACCTTCATTCACCTCTAAAATTAATCCATTATTTTTTCAGTTCTAGAAAGCTTTCGACAAGAAAACGAAAGAGTAGAGGTTATGGGGACGTCACCTAGTGGGGAGACGGAAGACGCGTTCGTTTCTCAAGCTGGAGACATCAACCCAGCCAACAAAGGTAACGTTATCAAACTGGGGATAGATGTTGCTCTACTCAAGTAGCATTTTAAGGAGTTTGCTACCAGGTAGCTAACGGGAAATCTGGAGGGAAAACCTGTAGCTGCAACGTCTGGAAGCTCCATGAACCACAGGGCTCGCTATTGTTTCAAAATCAGACTGCTGCCAAAGTTTCAGAGCTACCTAGCGAAACGTATTGGACGTGGTAGTAAAAGGGAATTGGGGAATCAACTACGTCTGTCATCCCTTGTAGCCCTCCATTCCTCTTATGTGCAAAAGGTGAATGTGCAAAAATGAACTAACATTGGGTCGTCAAGACATGTCAACTGCAGAACCTCCCCCTGCTGTGAAATTCAAGACAATGTCGCATAAAGTTAAAAACTTGATGGGATTTACCACTCTGAAAACCGCTATTGTAGCCATAGAGAGTGCTAGGCCTGGGAATACTCTTGCAACAGACGAAATGCCCGAAGAATACAGTCATTTCAGACAGGATTTGCCCATGGAAGGCTATGAGGACTTTGAGGCCCAGAACCCAACAACTGACATCATATTAAACGATACAGTTATTCACCCCCTGCGAATTAATCCGGTAACAAGTGAAGAAGAGCTCAAGGAGCTTGACGTCACTGACGAGTACAGCAACATTTCCGGTATCGATGAACCGCTTGAACCGTCAGAATCTCCCCCGGTGTACACAATGTCCACCGTTATCACGGTTGATAAAGATGAGGAAAGGGGTAGTTCGCGAGGAAGCACAATTTACAGTCAGAAGAAAGCTGATGATCGCAGCTCTACCACTTCCGTTAGTATTTCGTCTTTGTCTCTATTCACCCCGCTGGGTCCGTCGGTGGCCAGGAGGGGACTGGGTCTGTCTCTGGACGTTGAACGCCTAGTTCCTCGTTCACCCTATCGCATGGGCAGGGAACGCCGCTATGGCTGGATCGAAGGACAGCCGTTTCACGTTTAAGTAAAGGAAGCCATCTCATTTCAAGTTATGTCGGAATATATATGAGACACAACTTACTGGCTTTAAAAGTTTCTTCTCTTGCCGTATTTGTTTCCATTTCGGCGGTTACTTTTCTAGGTGGTTTCTCCTTTCGATCGGGTCCTTTCTTTACATTGTTCATTTTTCTTTCTTCTCTTTTATCTTGTCTCATTTTATCTTCAATCTGGATTTCTTCCCTTCGAAGCCTCTGTCCGCTTCGAAGAATCTGGTAATGGAGGGGCTAAGCAGCAACACATCTCCACTCTTCATTTGATTTTAACCTTTACTTATTCCCAGCTGGCCCCCAGACGGCAATTTCCACCTTGGAACTTGAACCAGTTTTTCCCTATTATTTTCTTGTTACCTGCTCACAGAAATCGCAAGGTTTCACGATTGTTCGGTGCCAAGGCAGGTGATGAATTTCTCTTCATATTTCGATTTTTTCATTTGCTTTATCCAGTTAAAACATGTATTCAAATGTTTGTGGCTTGCAGTTTTCTTCAAAAGTTGAGGCGCAGACATGCCTTTAAAAGAGCGAGTTAGTTTTTATGCTTAACTAATCCGTACCCTGGTACTTTATCGTTTCTTTTGAATTGTAATGTATCAACTTCGAAGATGCACTTACATGACTGGAATTGACCTCGTTACCGATATGACAATACCGGCGTACAGTTCATATTTAATTTGGGAGTGAGAATCCGAGCAAAAAAATATGTAGATTATGGGAATACCCAAATGAAATAGTATATAAGATAAGAAAAAGAAGACCAGTCGATGTTTTACCTTGATATAACGCAAGCATGGTGATTGACAAGGTATTCATGAACAAACACATCATAACCCATACACACTGGAATCCACAGACAGAAACAATATAAAATGAAAGAGAGAAGCAGGAAACAATGCATACCTAATCCTACCATACAAGGACCAAAAGGATCCCCGAATAAAACCCCCCTTCTGTTCTCGCTAAGATTCTCTCTCACACGCCTAAATACGGAGCCACTTTCCCACCCACATCTCCGAAACGCCAGCAAGAAAGAGGGCGTCGTAAAAAGTAACAAGATGTAGCATCGATCATGTAAGTTTTTGTTTAATGAAAAAGGACCGGAGGTGGGAGAGTTGCCATGCGCAAGTCAGTGAAAGAAGGGCGAGTTGGATTAGAGTCCAGCGGACCACTCTGGCGTTGGTGGCTTCAGACTGATCGCGGAACAATGCTTCCCGTTCCTATGATGAGAGTTAGATCAGTATAGTGAAAATTAGTAGCCCGTAGAGGGATATAACATAATATCACATACCCGTTGGAAAACCTGCTCTCGGCGGATATCTTGAAGTCTGCTATTGAGATTTTTGACTCTCTGAGCCATATCTTCCATTTTAGATTTATCTTCACTCTCGATTTTGCTGGTTTCTCCAATGGCCATGTCGACGGTCAATTTAACCGCAGGCGAACCCGCAAGCCATCCTCCAGAACCCGTGTCTGGGGTGAAACAGAGCTTGTGCTGGCCGGCATCTGCGGCGGAGAAGGTGAAACGTCCAGCATTCCCTCCACGCTGGAAGACGACGCGGTGATCATTATCAAATGTCTCATCTACCGTGATAGTAATGCCAACAGCAGGATCCGTAGTGTAAAGGCTGGTTTCCGGCTGTAAGACTTCAGCCTTGTAATGACCTGGCGCCAGACAGAGTCAGCACAAAAAATCCACTCAAATTCATTAGAGAGATTGGCGAAGTGCAATCTATCACGGATTCAAAGAAATGCTAACCAACAACTAGAGTACCATGAGGCAGTTCCTCAAAGAAGCATTTTTGATGCTTTGGTTGGATGTAGAAATAGAGGGAGTGTACAGGAGTCAAAAGGGTGAGGACCGCAACAATTGCGAAAAAGGACGACAGCCAGGGCTGCGAACGCGACATCATGATGGAGATTTCAAGCCAGGGAACGGCTGGAATTGCAGAGTCTCCCTGAAATCTTGAGCCTGTGTTGATCCGTTGATGTCTGATATCCTGAAATAAAGTAGTATACGGGGGGTTTAAGTTGCAGCCAGAGCGTTGAAGTGTCCACTTCGAAGGTCACAAGGATGCAAACAGTGTAAACATCCGCAGTTGGAATCCTCCCCCAGATATCCGTGACAAAGAACGACTTACACCGGGCAAACTTATCAATAAATCCACATTTTCATCGTAAACCCATTTCCTTTTCTACGAGGGGTATCTATATCTAGAGGCCTTTTGCGATCCATCTATTTCTTTACTATATATTGTTTCTGGGCGCGACATCGTGCTCCGCATCGGCAGCATGGCCATCGCAGATGTCCGTGATATGCTCGATCTGCCCGTCGATGGTGGGCATCCTAGACCTCACAAGAAACAAAAAGTCGTTGAAAAAAGACCCGGTAAGCGGAACTTTGGACTTATTATCTTGATTCTTCTGTGAGCTAACAGTGATACACTTTGATAGAGGGTATTACTCGCGAGCTCTTTGCTCTTCTTGGCGAGCGTGCTCCGCCAATCGCTCTGAACGAGAATAAATACAAGGGACGGCGGAAATGGGTGAGCAAACTGAAAGTGCGGCCATGGTAAGGCTTATTATATCGGGATAGGGTCTTTGGAAATACTCGTGCTGATGCGATTCACCCATTGTAGGGAGATGGCACCGTTTGAAAACGACGCCCGTTCCGATGGCCTTGTTCTTCGACACTGGCAGCGAAAACGTGTTCCCGGTAACGAAGCACCCTCCGGTGAAAATGCAGTGTCCGATTGGGAGGATAAAACGCAAACCGAAACCGCAGAACAGAGAGATGAGGAACCCTATCCATTCGCGAAATATAACGTCAAAGTCCAGGTTCCAAAGCGGTATACAGATGAACAATACAATCGGTACCTAAAAAGCCATAACTGGAGTCGTGAAGAGACGGACTATCTTATGGAAATCGTCGAGGAATATGATTTACGATGGGTCGTAATCGTGGATAGATACGAATATCCCCCAAACCCACCAGGAACCGAGGGCGACTTAACCGCGCTTGTCTCAACGACAAAACGTCGAACGATGGAAGAGATGAAGTCTCGCTATTATACCGTTGCCGCAAACATGCTGGCACTTGAAAACCCACCGTCTGAGATGTCTGAAACAGAGTTCGACCTTCACGAGAAGATGATGAAATATGACCCTGAACAAGAGAGAGCTCGCAAAGATTTGGCGATTTTACAATTGAACCGATCCAAGGACGAAGTTAATGAAGAAACTCTTCTCCTGGAGGAACTTAAACGCATCGTGGCCAACGAAAAGACTTTTATCGAAGAACGAAAAGAACTCTACGCCAGACTGGAAGCCCCGATCAGCACCAGTAATGCCACGATGTACCAATCAAGTCAAGGCTTATCGCAACTCCTCCAATCCCTTCTGCATGCCGATAAAAACAAGAAAAGACGTTCAATTATGGGGCCAGAAACCGGCACGTCCAGCCCTGCCAGCAGCCAACCAGGTGCTCAAAATCCCCCCCAGAGCGCTCGCGAAAGTAGGCCCCAGACTCCTGCTGCCACGGCACCGGTACCCACAACGACCAAGAAAGCTGCCGCCAGTGCTGCAGCCCAACAACAAGCCATCAAAACCCTAACTCCCGCCGAAGAAGCCAAGTATGGTGTCACCCGCCATGACCGTCTTGCCTCGGGCGTCCAGTTCCGCAATGACAGGGCGCAAAAGCTCACACAGGCAAAATCCAACATCCAATCACAGAAACTTGCTGCTGCGCTTACTGAACTTTCCATCCCACCCCGCCTCGTCATGCCGACGGAGAAAGTGTGCAAGGAATTTGAAAAACTGATACACTCGGTCAATTTGCTGCTTGACGTGCGCAAGTTTGCGGAGAAAGTTGAGGGAGAAATTCGTGTGCTGGAGGCTGCTAAGCAAGATCGGGGAAGGAAGGAGAGGGAGAGGTTGGAGCAGGAGGCTAGGAAAGCTGGAGGAGGGAATGCTGGTGCAGGAAAGGCGGATGAGAATCAGCAGGAGAATAAAGGAAAAGAGGGTGTGGGAGAGGACAAGGGAGCTGCTACTCCTGTAGCTGCGGCTCCTGTCGAGGTAGAAGCGCCAGCGGTGAGAGGGCAGAGTGAAGCCGGTGCTCTTAATAATGAAACTGACGAAGGGGCGAAAGAGACTGGCGCGGAGGGTGTAGGAGCCGCTGGCTCGACCAGGTCTCACAAACGAAGCGCCAGTGTTTTAAGCGCGGTTAGTGACAAGAGTTCGAAGAGGCAGAGAAAGTAGATGGTAAGAAGCATGTTTTAGTTTTCCTGATTATGGGAGTTTGGGGTGGAATTTTTTAGGCTTTTGCAGTCTTTTGTACCCTTGCTATTAACTTTGTAATAGTTAAGTACACCTAGCTACTTGATTCTTCGCTACAAGGGACAGATGGGGTTGATGGATACGCACCGGAGTTAGGAATATTTTAGTACATAATTTCTGTTTGAAACCGGCCTGTCGCTTTATCTTCTCTAACCCGCTCGACCTGGTTGCTCCATACATCCCAAGGTTTATTTGAAACCGTACCAACCTTGACCTGACATTTGTAGGGCCTTCACTTCCTGTGTCCTAGGTCTCAAATGTATATCTGCTGGAGCAAAAACCCCATATCCTACTTCATTTAACTACCAGTGACGACACGGCATCTTTTGTGAAACGGGCGGAAGTTGAATTGGAACATACCTAATGAGCAAAATGTTATCAAAAAGTCCTATCGCTTTATCTGAACATATGTCTATGGATAATCTACGTCGTACCAACCAGCAAGTTGCCAGGGATAGGGGTAAAAATAACGCCAACCTCCTCCGATCCGTTCACATTTACATATGTGGTAAAAAAAACAGGATATAACAAAAGACGGGGGACGTTCAAACTCTCGATACAAAGCAACTTCAAAAAAGGCCCGCAAAACCTTCCATGCCGATTTTTCAAAAACCACAGGAACCTTTCCACAATGATCTGTGATGAATCTCGATCTTCCATAACCAGACCTAGCCAATCCGTCCCCTACTGCCCCCAGGCCCGCTCTACTAGTTTAAGCAATCTATCCCTCGACGCTACCTCGTTAACAAGTTGTTCCTCCTTAAATTCCATAGTTGAGTTACGTAAATCCATGCTGGTCGATATTTTGTCGGATTTTTGCTTGTCGATCGGACCTTCGGGAGTACCCTTTGATACATCTACGCCATGACACATGTTCTTCGAAGAGCAAGACATGAACAGGTCTTCATCAGAGAATGTTCCAATGCAGTCATCGTACAAGCGCGACCAACCGTCCGCAGAACCTGGCTCTATCGAACTGTCCAACCCAATCAAGTTGAAAGCAGAGAGATCGGGCTTATCTTCGGGATGTAATAGAGGAGTTGGGGGAGGTTTGACCTTATTCTTCGGAGTAACGACCGGTGTCTGAGCTTTCATACGTTGCTTATGTCGGTTAACTTCCAGCCTGATATCTCCAATTTGCTCAAAAATAGGGTAACCAGTTGGTCCCCCAGGGATAATTTCAAGATCCGGATCCCTCAGGTCGTTGCTTCTCGAGGCATCCCTCCTAAAGCCAGCGCGGTATCGCCTACGATCAATGGTATCGGAGCGATGCAGCCTGATCCAGTTAAACATCCCCGAACTCTTTCTAACAGAAACACGTATAACAGTTTTGTCATTTCCAGCTTGTGGCATGGGGCCGCTCTTTTTGTCGCTATTCGGCTCGGACGGCTGCTGAGTTGCGAAATCCCGGGCAACAACATTATCAGAGTGTCCAGCAGACTGGCTTTTTGCGTTCTTATTGTGGCTTGGGAATCTAGCCCACGATGAGAAGAACTTTTTGTGGCTATTAACACAATCGTTGCCGTTCTTCTGCAGTCCTGTTAGCCTCACTTGAGACCCCATGCCCTCACAGCCAAGTTCCCACTCATACCCCTGGTTATTGCTTGCATCACTCTGCTGACAGACGGCAGTTGAGTCACTGTGTAGTCTTCTAGAGTCTTCTAAAATATATTTCGGACTTAATAATCCTTCTCCAGGTAAGTTCGATGGATCAACTCTTTCAACGCCAGCGGCGTATTCTTCAATAGCTCTGCGTTTTTTGCCCTGTTGTACTGAATTTGATGTATATTCGTCTGCTTCCTTGACAAAACGATAGCCGTAACCCCGGCGTTTACCATCGGACAGCCACCCATCGCTGAAACTCCTTCTTGTATCTTTTAAGTCACACTTACTGTTCCGAATTATAGGGTCACTGGCACAACTGGAACATCGGTCATTATCACTGAAATCTTCGATGAACCTGCTTTGAGTATGAGGTATCATTTGCTGCCCAGCTGGTAAATTTTTAACAGGAGCGCTTAGGTTGCTGAGAGATTTCGACTGTTCGTTATTGAGGAGATAGAATGACTCACTGCTGGTGGATACTATCGTATTGGAGCCAGCGACGGTATGCTTTTCTTTGAACTGGGATGCCTGTGGTTCAAATCCCGGCGTTGGGCTATCAGTTCGGCTTTTTCTAAAGTCCGGGAGAATCCTCTGGTAGTTTAGCCTTTGGGAGGTCGGAGCTAATGGTTGTCGATCAATTCTGGGAGCCCAATTAGATTCCCATGAAAATCTATACAGAGGCGACTCTAGACGCGGAGCACGCGGTAGATTATCGGCATCTTGACCACTGGGAAGATTTCCTATGTCTTCTATGCAATTTGACGAACTAGATATGGATATAGGTGCAAACCCTGGGGATGTGAGAGAGCAGGGGCTTGTATGGAAACGGTCATTGAACCCATCAAATCCTTGACCTGTTGCTTCATCCCACATTCCTGATGCTGTTCCATCAAAGCCAGTTGGAAACAAACTACGGTTCATCCCCAAGGACCCGTTTGGGCTTCCGGTATTAGATAGCACCATTCTGGTATTATTAAGAACACCGGATATGCCGCTGCTGATACATTCCGTGATTTGCGGGGTTCCAATACAGCGTGCATCACTATCATACTCCGCATCGCCGGTAGTCGTGAAATCAACATTGATGATGGAATTCGTATGGAGGTCTGCATCCTGGGAGGCAGCGCCATGTTGGCTAACGCCATGCTCCTTGAATTTCATGGAGGACTTTCTAGACACATGTGACTCCCTGGAAAGCCTCCTTCGAATTTTATGAGAAAGCTGAGCTAAACTGAGCCGACTGGCCTTGGAATTGAGATGTTTCGTTCGATTGACAGTCGTACGTGGAAACTGTTGAACATCTGGGGTAGTTTGAGGGCTCTGAGTGTTTGTGCGGGACGTAGAAGAGCGAAAAATTGCCTCAAAAGCGAGTCTTTCCTCACTTATATTGTTTGCGACGGCAGAAGTGAATCTGGGTGGAAGTTCAGGGGGGGATAAACTGTTTGGGATCGGGGGATCCCCAGCCTTAGGGTTTGAAAACTTTGATCGCTGGCTTCGGGGGCATGGACTGAAAACCATTTTGAACAGCTTACGGCTGATTGCTTGCAGCAACTCTTCTGTTGGTGAGTCTAAGCTATTAAAATTTTAGCTCGAATAAGGGGAAGCTGGGTCACAATATGAGTGCCAAATTCACAGAAGTAGGGGTATAAGGCGTGGAGCGTTCTTCTCAACCAGTTTTATCGCTGCTGGTCATCTATCCTTCTATAGCCAGTGGAACGAAGACACAGATAAGCCTGCAATAGAACAGAGCAATAAAATGCAGTAAAATATAAACACGACATCTTCTCTTGTTTACACGCCGGAAACTGGAGGAGGAAGGAGTTGAAAAAGTTGTATATATATATATATATATATATATATGTGTGTGTGTGTGTGTGTGTGTGTGTGTGTACACATACATACATACATATATGTAGATGGCGGCTTCCATTTTCCACGTCCAAAACAGAAATATCCTATTGAACTGTAACTGTGTAGCAGTAAAATACATCAAGGGGAGTATCCGCCGCGGAGGATCATGCGCCGTGGCACTTTCTATGTCACGGATATACATACGTACATACATATGGGTACATAGATGGAACAGTCGGAGAAGTGCCAATTCCACCTTCCTTTCGCACGCTTGTGGAGGATGTGAGCATGTTCATAGTGCTGCATCACCTTAATCCCTTTTTGAGCCCCACTGTCGTTGTTCACATACAAACATAGGGACTGGATCCCGTCCACTCAGCAGCACTGAAGCCACTCGCCGGCCCATCAAAAGTTGTGTGGGTGACCACCAGCGAATCCGGGCTTTCGATGATTTTTGGCATCTCTCTCTCTCTCTCTCTCTCTCTCTCTCTCTCTCTCTCACTCTCTCTCTTCCCCCCCCCCCCCCCCTTTTTTTTTTAATATTTTGATATTTTGTTTTATAATCATTTGGCTTGAGCTTTGGTATTACTGTCAACTGCCGAAGGAAGATCTTATAAACCCAAAGGATTTCAATGGAGACACAAGTCCTGTTGATATGAAGGGACTTGGGACAGCTGCAGTGTCTTCGCAACTTTCTCTTGCTGCTGATGAGATATTCTTGTGTTATCATTTGCAGCCGTGTGGATGTAAGATCTGGGTCATATTCAAATATCGGATGTAACTGATATAACATTGTTTTCCTCAGGGGGCATCCAACAAAAGTTGAGATTGATATCACATGGCCAGGATACCCGCCAAGGCCGCTCCAAACTCGGCTTGGTCACGTGTTTTCTGCAGCATGGTGTGAGACCAGAGGTCCGCTCCAGCCAATCATAGCGCACCAAAGATCCTCCCACCAATATTTTCTTTTTCTTCCTCCTGCTCTTTTCTCCCCCTCCATCCACAACCCACATCCTCTTCACTCTCTCCATCCTCTACTCTTCCACCTTCTCTTAATCTACTCTTTTATCGATTAATGGGAATTACCCTAGTTTGTGTGTGTCAGGGCTTGCAGATACCAATTCACTGTGCTTTACAACCCCCCCACGTCTGAATACTCAATATTTGAGTATCAATTTTCGGTGTCTGAATAGAAAACTGCAAAAATGGTTCAGTCGTAAGTGCACTCACTCTACATATTTTAATTGAGGCACCATGCTAACCAGTGATAAAGATCTGTCCTCGGTTTCCCCCGTATGGGCCGTCTTCGAGACCTGAAGAAGGCCACCGAAGCATACTGGGCAGGAAAGCTCTCTCGCGATGAGTTGCTCAAAGAGGGAAAGAGACTGCGCCTGGAGCATTGGCAAATCCAAAAGAAAGCTGGTGTTGATCTCATCCCCAGCAATGACTTTGCTTTCTACGACCAAGTCCTTGACCACATTCAACTCTTTGGGGTACGTTTAATTATTCCTGTCGTTCCGTGACCTACCATTTCCTTCTCCAGGTTGCTCTAACAAATATCTCGCAGGCAATCCCCGAGAGATATTCCAAGTATGGCCTCCACCCTGTTGATGAATACTTCGCCATGGGGCGAGGTCTGCAGAGACCTGCCAAGGATGGTGAGGCCGCTGTGGACGTTCCCAGTCTGGTAAGACTCTTCCAACACCCAGACAACGCATATAAAGAAATTCCCACATCCTAACATATTCTCAGGAAATGGTGAAATGGTTCGACTCGAACTACCATTACGTTAAGCCTACGCTGCAGGACTCCCAGACGTTCACTTTGTCAAGCAATCCTAAGCCCGTTGTTGAGTTTATGGAGGCGAAGGAGGCTGGCATTACCACCCGTCCAGTCCTTCTCGGCCCAGTTTCCTTCCTTGCCCTCGCCAAAGCCGATCGTGGCCAGACCGTTGACCCTATTTCCCTCATTGGTAAACTCGTTCCCCTGTATGTTGAGCTTTTAGCCCGGCTCAAGGCTGCCGGAGCTGAGGATGTTCAGGTCGATGAACCCGTCTTGGTTTTCGATTTGTCTGAGAAGACGAAGGCTGCGTTCAAACCCACATACGAAATGTTGGGCGCCCTTGGTGACAAGGCACCCCGCCTGGTCTTAGCCACGTATTTTGGTGACATTGTCCACAACATTGATGTCCTTCCTTCCCTTCAGAATCTTCATGGTATCCATGTCGACTTGGTCCGCAACCCAGAGCAGCTCGACACCGTGATCAATGCTCTTGGACCCAAACAAATTCTATCTGCTGGTGTTGTTGATGGCCGCAATATCTGGAAGACCAACTTCAAGCGAGCCATCGAGATCGTTGAGACCGCTGTCCAGAAACTTGGCAAGGAAAGCGTTATTGTTGCCACTTCTAGCTCGCTTCTTCATACTCCTCACACCCTCGAGAGCGAGAAGACCCTGGACCCGGAGGTGCGAGATTGGTTCAGCTTCGCTGTTGAGAAGGCCAGCGAAGTAGTTGTCATTGCAAAGGCTGTCACTGAAGGCCCTGCCTCTGTGCGGGAAGAAATTGAGGCTAACTCCAAGTCGGTCCAAGCCCGTGCATCATCCAAGCGGACTAATGATCCCAAGGTCAAGGAGAGACAAGATGCTGTCACTGACGAATTGCACAAACGCAATTCCCCCTTCCCAGTCAGAATCAGCCAGCAGCAGAAGAAGCTCAACCTTCCTTTGTTCCCAACCACCACCATCGGGTCCTTCCCCCAAACCAAACACATCCGTCTCCAACGGAACAAGTTCACCAAAAATGAGATTACAGCAGAGGAATACGAGAAATTCATCGAGAAAGAAATCCAAGATGTTGTCAAAATCCAAGAGGAACTGGATTTGGATGTATTTGTCCACGGAGAGCCGGAACGTAATGATATGGTTCAGTACTTCGGCGAGAGATTGACTGGATATGTCTTTACTACCCACGCTTGGGTTCAGAGTTATGGTTCCCGCTGCGTACGCCCTCCGATTATTGTCGGAGATATTTCCCGTCCAGCCCCCATGACCGTTAAAGAGTCGAAATATGCCGTCTCCATCTCCAAGAAGCCAATGAAGGGTATGCTTACTGGACCAATCACCTGTCTGCGGTGGTCTTTCCCTCGTGACGATATTCACCAGTCCGTGCAAGCTCAGCAGCTGGCTCTTGCTCTTCGCGATGAGGTTGTTGACTTGGAAGCTGCTGGTATCGATGTCATTCAAGTTGATGAGCCGGCTCTCCGTGAAGGTCTTCCCCTCCGCTCTGGAAAGGAACGTGAGGCTTACCTCGACTGGGCCGTTAAGGCTTTTCGACTTGCCACTTCCGGCGTCCAGGATAGCACCCAAATTCATTCCCACTTCTGCTATTCCGAGTTCCAGGACTTCTTCCACGCAATCGCAGCCCTCGATGCCGATGTTCTCAGTATCGAGAACAGCAAGAGTGACGCCAAGCTTCTCAAGGTCTTCGTCGACGAAGCCTACCCGCGACACATCGGTCCCGGTGTATACGATATCCACTCTCCTCGTGTCCCAAGTGAGCAAGAGATCAGGGACCGCATCGAAGAGATGCTTCAATACCTTCGACCAGATCAACTCTGGATCGATCCCGATTGCGGTCTCAAGACGCGGCAATGGCCTGAGACCAAGGCAGCTCTCACCAACATGGTAAATGCTGCCAAGTTCTTCCGCCAAAGGTATGCTAAATAAATTAGCATTGATTAAAACACCCAGGGATTTTTTTGTGTGTTTTGTTGTGTCGCAATTACGCTCAACACGTTGTGACTAGGATATATGGATAACGGAGCTTATTAATGATTACAAGATATGGAGACGACTTATTCAAATAGGGAATGATTTAACATGCATGCATTCAAAAAAAAAAACGGTGTTCCAGGGGAGCTGGGACTGAATAACAAATTTTTTTGTGGAAGGGAATATGGTATGACATGACAGGGAGAGATAGAAAGGTGCACAGTTTTTTTTTAAAAAAAAAAATACCCATGATCTCAACATCAGCGTTTTTTTTAGTCATATTCATTCAGTTAAATTTTTAAGATTAATTTAAAAAAAAAAATAAAAGGTTGTTTTCTTGACTAAATTTATACGTGTGATACCCCCTATTCCGCTCTCTAATTACATGACTGCTCAAGTTATTCAACTAGAGCCTAAAGGAATAGCTAATGGAAAGGAATATGTATACACAAAGCTAGTTGTGAATATCCCAGAAGCACCTTTATATATTCTACATAAAATGAAACACCACATCATCACTTTTAGTCAAACAAATCTTCACTCCCGTTAGAATATTTAACATACAGCATCTGAAAATTAGAAGAAATAACCCAATATAAGAACACTTGGAATAGTAAATCTTATCACAACCACTTTACATACGGCACAAACGCGCCACGCCTGCCTACCCTCTCCTCCCCAAATCGCTCCACATACCAATTCCGCCCCCAGCTTGCACGCGCCGCTGTGGTTAACACAGAATTTACAAAAAGCGCGATTGCAGGTAGTGGGAAAGACAGACCCCACTTGTTTAGCAGGAGGGTAGCTAGGGGAGCGTAATACGGAGCGAGAGCTAGGCTGGGAGTGGTAGCAGAAGTTGGAGCTGGGGAGGGCGTTATGGAGAATCCGATCAGGAGGAATCCAAACCATTCGATCCATTCCAAGGTGTAGTGTGGAAATAGTATTGTGCGGAACCAGCCGGTTGGAGGGGGAAGGATGTAGACTTTGTCGTACTTGTTTTTGAGGTTGTTAGAACTATCATCCCGTTTGTCGACTTCTTCCCTTCGTAGGCGGAAGAGGACTCCCTCTGCTCTTATGTTGCCGTACATGCCTATGAAAAATAGGCAGAGTCCGATGTAGGGTAAATATTCCACTGGGAAATATGACGTGGAGAACTTTGATGGATGATGTGACTGCAGCGCCGTGGAACCAAGCATGGGTGTCCCATAACCTAACAACCAGCCTGCTAGACAGCTTGAGTTGAGATAGTTGAATCCCAATGCTGAAAGGATTATGATCAGGTGGATTGGCGACATGCTTGGGGCGAGGAAGAGGGGTGTTATGACCGCCCGGTTTAGATAGTGGAGGACATATAGACATGCGACTACTTTATGCCAGATGGGTAACTGGCCGTCTGGGAAGCTGGAGGGGATGGCGTAGAGGGTGTAGAGGAGGTTGATGGCACCGACGCTTTCCATGCAGAGCCAGGCATAGCGGCCGGGAAAGTTAAGGCGGGAGGAAGGGAGGGAAGTTTTCCCTTGTGGGTGGAAGGGAACAGTCCATTGTATGAGGGTTACCTATGGAGAACGGTTAGCTTTACCCCTCCGGCCCCCCTTTTTTTTGATTTTTTTTTTCTCTTCTTTCATCATTCTTGATACGTGAGATTTGCCTGAGATGATTGATCTGTTGGACTGGAATTGGGGCTACTAACAAGAGGGAAGTACTGAAATATACTGAGCAGAATTACGTAGACTGTTGGAGATACGGGCGGGAGGAACTGCTGAGCCGGTGGGAGGGAGCTAACCCATTCTAAGAAGTGCATGTCTTCGAATGCAGCATCTGAGAACAATTGCCTGGGATTAAATCAGTTGTTGGTTGTTGGTGTTGGAACTGTTCATGGATATTACTAAGTACTGGCATAGGAGGTTTTAAGGTTGGCTGCCGAATATCGAAGTCAAAACACCAAAAGAACTACATATTTCAAAATATTATAGAATCTTTCAACATGCAGAATATACTAAAATTTAATTCCTAGATTTGATTGACCTTATCTCTATACACTTGAATTTAACATGTTTGCTGATTGTTGTTATTTCAATTAAAAATAATGAGCAATGTATATGTTTTCATCTAAATAAAGATAGTTTCTTTATATTTTCAAAGTTACAATTTGAGTTCTACTCTTTATTTCTATAAAGATTTTATTTTTGTTATAGTTGATGACATTTTGATATATCAAAGAGAATATATTAATAAACTAGTTTTTTATAACAACTTAATATGGTATTTAGATAAGTGCGCTATTAGTTGATTAAAATTTATATTATTTAAAAATATGCAGTTATATTATCAAAATGACTTATAAAGTGCAGTAACTACTTGTAATAATTGTGCTACTGAATAAAGCTTTAGCATTTTCTCTTAGAACAAAAAGATAAATTTATTAAGAGAAGAAAAAAAGAATAAAAACTAAAAAATTAATAAAAAATTTTATATAAATCAGAATTTTTTTTTTAAATTTAGATATAAATTATTTTAATTATAAAAAATTATTTAGTAGATCAATTATAGTAATAATGATTGATAATTTATATAAATTAAATATAACTTTATTTTCAAAAGTATATATATTTTTATATTAAGTTATTATATTTTTTTAATTAAACTTAATATTTTCTGTGATATCTATATATATAATAATATAATATTTATTTAATTTTTTATTTTAATTTATTTATTTTTTTAATAATAATAAATAATTATTTATAATAAATTAATATTTAAATAGTAATTTTTATAATTAAAATTCTTCATTTAGATTATTTTATTTATATTTATTTTTGATAGTTTTATTTTATTTTTTCTCTTTTAATAAATAAAATTTTTTATTTATAAAAAAAAATACTAGAGCTATATTTAATAATATATTTATTATATTATAAATTTATTTATTTGATTTATTTAATTTAATAAAAAAATTATTTTAAGAATAAATTATTATTTATAATTTAAACTTTTTAATTTTATAAATAAAAACTTTTGAATATTATTTATAAAATAATAACTTTTTAATTTTATTTTTAAAGTAAAAACTTTTAAATTTTATAAAATTAAATAAATTTATAATATAATAAATATTTATTAAATATAATATTAAAATTATTTTTTATATAAAATAAAGTTAGAAAAAAGTAAAATTTTTATATAAATTAAAATAAAAAAAATAATTTAAATATAAATAATTATAATTATAAAAAATTATTAATTAAATAATAATTTATTATAAATATATTTAAATTAATAGTTTTTTAAATTAATGTAAACTTTATTTTATTTATTTAATATAAAGTAATAATATATTTTAATTATAATTAATTATTATATTTATTTTTTTAATAATAATAAAATTTTCTTTTAATTTTTATATTATACTACATTAATTTTTTTTTAACTTTTAACTATAATCTATTAATTAACCATTTTAGTCTTATTTTTTTCAAGGTTAACTTTAATTTATATTGTATACTCTTTTCAGTAAAGCTAATGCTTTTATGATTAAGTCTAATTAAATTTAAAATTTAAAAGGTTAATCTCAAGGGTAGACGGTTGAAAATGCCAGCAGAAGGTAGGATAAGTGCCCAGGGGTTTTGCCATCATTGAGGATCGAGTATCTTCGACTATCTCATGTACTGCAATTAGCCGCGCATAGACGCGCGTTAAAATGAAGACAATGTTGGCCATCTGCTGCTTTGCGTTTTGCGGAGCGCTAGTCCGTAATAGGAAGCTTGGCGCCCACATAAAACGCCAAACTACCTGAGACGCGTCTAATTAGAACTACAAAATATGACAACTAACTAGCGGAATGGATTGAAAAATTCTATTAGAGATTCGTGGAACATCATCCGTTGACTGGGACTATGGATTGATTAATTACTACCCAATAACAAATTGTTTTGTCATGATACGCAGTGAATGCGTAAAAATTTTGTCATCTCAGTCTCTTGATTCTGGTCTCTTCATTTTGTTATCTTCAAATTTGTTAGAGCCTAAGTTGTTGCTGCTATTCTCGCAAAATTAGCTTTGCTCCCTATTAGCTATCAAATGGTTAGTCACCGGCAAGATCTTTCTACAATACCTCTCCTCGATCCTGAAGGAAGGATACATGGCCTCCCCCACATCGCCAGCAATATGGCTACCGTCTCTTAAAGTACGCCAGCTTCAACGTCTTGCCTCCCTAACGGGGATATTGTCTTCAGGCGCCAAATCGATCCTGATTGAACGGTTGTATCAAAACCTCCATGTTAGCATACAACAACCAGTACACAATGTGAACCAAGAGGAATGTTCAATAGATGACAAAAAGACGGCAAGCATTCTAAGTATCGACATGGGCATTCGAAATTTTGGCCTTCGCCCATTTAGTCGTTCCCGCGGGACACGCTGGCCGTACCAAGTCTGGGGAATTTAAGCCTCCTATTTTAAAGGCGTGGTATCGCCTAGCTGTCCCTTCCTTTGTGTCAAAATTCTGACCGGGCTTTGAATTTTAATCTGGACGATGAGATGAGACCTAAGAAAAAAATTACCAAGGATCGAAAATCCTTGCCACTTAATGGACCTGATGCATCGTCAGGGTGTGATTCGACGCACGTCCCAGGAAATGGAGACGGAAACAAGGTGAAGCAAAAGGAATCATTTGCTCCCAAGGTCTATGCCGCACATGCATACACGCTCATGTCATCACTTCTGGCCACATATAAACCAACACATGTCCTCATTGAAAGGCAACGATTTCGGTCTGGTGGAGGCAGCGCCGTTCCAGAATGGACCATTCGTGTTGGAGTCTTTGAAGGAATGCTTTATGCCGTGCTTCGCGCCATGCAGCAAGAACGGAAAGGGGAAATAGCCAATATCGTCGTTCAAGGGGTAGAACCACAGAGGGTATTGAGGTACTGGATTGATCATGAAGAAGGCCTAGACTTGCCCCCCAAAGGCAAACTGATGGGAAGCTCGCCAACCCCCAATGTGTCTAAGAAACTCAGCTCGAGTAAGTGCAAGCAAATCAAGATAGATCGGATTGGCGAACTACTTTCGTCATGTATTGGGATAGACGTGGACTCCACATCATCAACAGGCACAGGCGACCACCTAGGCATAAATCTTGGTGATGACGGTCAGATTCATGAGGTGGTCAAAGCATATTTGAAGAAATGGAAGAAGTTAAAGGGAGGAAAGTTGTCAACAAAGCGGACCTCTGGTGCCACAACAGATAATTCACAGACTCTAGAAATTGAGAAACTTGATGACCTAGCCGATTGCTTGCTACAAGGGATTACATGGCTGGAGTGGCAGAACACACTACAAAACGTCGCTCGTCACGGGTTTGATGTTGTTTCATCGAAAATGGGTGATTGATTCGAGAAGGTTTAATTGTGATGACAACCGACCGCAACTAGAACCTTGAACAAGCTCCACTATATACGGTAATCGCGTCTTAGCCATGCCGTTCGTTGGCCAGGATTGGAGGTTGATTGGATCTGGAACTAAGTGTTGGGCTTTAATTTTGCTTTTTGCATTTCTTTTAACTTTCATTCTCACCAAGGATTGTGTATACGAATTTTGTTAGTTCCTGTTCTGGTAGAAGTTAATTAATATTATGAGAGACCTGTTTTCCTTCGCAGCGAACAAAATGCTTTCATGCTTAACCGCTTTGAAGCTCCCCATGTGATAGAAGGGGATAGGAAGTTAAGGAACAATATTAGTGGGGAAGAGGTTTCAGGAGTAGTGTGTATTGTCGCCTATGCAGTTACAGGTCCCAAGGGTCAAGAACCCGCACAAGGAGAGTGGGACAATACGTAGAAAGCATACCCATGGAATTAGATCAACGAACTGGAACGTTTCAAAATTCGAAGGAATATATATTGTTAAATTAATATGTGTGCACTTCACTGCCTTTATTATCTCCCCGTTCAGTTTCACTTTACCATGCTTAACTAATTGCCTACGTCGTGGAGCAGAACAGGATAAGAATAGGATTGAATAAATAAAAGGGAAAACAAACGCATGCCATGTAGCTATCCAAGGAGAGAAAGAAAAACTGAAAACTCCGACAGAAAGATATATGAGTCCTAAATTCGTCAAGGCCGGAAACAGGAAACTGTCTCATGGTAAATTTTTAAAAATCTCTTGTTGCATTTCTGTCAAGTTTGGGATAAAATAGTAATAGAAACAAACAATCCCTGCAGTTAGAAAAGGTATCGAATAAGGGAAGAACAAAAAAAAAAAAAAAATGAGGACAGATACTAGAAATGAAAATAAAAAATTAGCCTGGACATTGGGCCAAGGAAACGTTTGATGACGGATTCCACATATAACTAGTTAATGACAACCATGAATTATGAAAGAGGATTAACTAACTTTCTATCATTTCTATCATTTCTTTTGCTGTCTGCACCAAAACCAAGGCCCTTTCTCAAATACCATTTCGTATACTAGAAAATATCCTGACCAAAAGATCCAAATAAAATAAAATAAAATAAACAAATAAATGATAAATCCAAAAGCAAGTGACCTCGTTTCAAAATATTCGATCTTCGGTATGAACGCTTAGAAATTGCTCGCACAAAATTAAGGACCAAATTTGAACACGCTAGATTAAAATGGTCGCTACATCACCCTTTCACGGTCCTGGGGATAATGGGTTTTGCTAAGCTATTTAAAGCGGTAACCACCAGTTGGAAAGATGTGATTTCTCGTGTGGAATCCGGAAGATGCAGTGGGGTATTGAGGCTCGATCGTTGTGGTGACGTTAATTCCTCTATATGAACCAGGGAATCGGATCGGGAGAGCAGTCGCTGATGAAGTTGTGCAAGTGGTGGTCGGGTTCACAGTAGGGTCGGTTTGCGATGGGTTGAGAACTGGATCAGTGGGAACACTAGCGCTGACTAGGGCAGCAGCAGCATTGGTTGACTCAACACTGATGATTGAAGCAGTCTATAAAATGTGTCAGATAGGTTGAAAAATAGAAATCTGGATGGAGTACTTACCACAGTGACAGTACTGAAATGGGTAGCTGTTACAATGTGTTCACAGTTACCATTTCCATTTCCATTTCCATTTCCACTGCCATTGGCCACTGCCATTTCCACTGCCGTTTCCACTGCCATTTCCACTGCCATTTCCACTGCCATTTCCACTGCCA